TACATCAAGTTGATTGTGGCGATTTAATCTGCTGCTCCTGAGGCTGCTGGGAGAGATTTCCCTTTCTCGTCTTTGTTCGCACAGCTCCTGGGGTTCAGCTTTGGGTTTGGCCCCACCTCTGCGTGTAGGTCACCTGAGGGTGTCTGTTCTTTGCTCAGACCGGACGGGGCTAAAGGAGCAGCTGATTCAGGGACTCTGGTTCACTCAGGCCGGGGGGGAGAGAGGGGTACTGATGCGGGGCGAGCCTGCGGCGGCAGAGGCCAGCGTGACGTTGCACCAGCCTGATGTGTGCCGTGTGTTCTCCTGAGGAAGTTGTCCCTGGATCACAGGACCCTGGCAGTGGCGGGCTGCACAGGCTCCCGGGAGGGGAGGTGTGGAGAGTGACCTGTGCTGGCACACAGGCTTCTTGGTGGCGGCAGCAGCAGCCTTAGCGTCTCATGCCCGTCTCTGGTGTCCGTGCTGACAGCCACGGCTTGTGCCCGTCTCTGGAGCTCATTTAGGTGGCTCTCTGAATCCCCTCTCCTCACGCACCCTGAAACAATGGTCTCTTGCCCCTTAAGCAGGTCCAGACCTTTTCCCAGACTCCCTCCTGGCTAGCCGTGGCGCACTAACCCCTTCAGGCTGTGTTCACACCGCCAACCCCAGTTCTCTCCCTGGGATCCGACCCAAGCCCAATCGTCAGTTCCCAGCCCCCGCCTGAGCCGGTGGGTGAGCAGACAAGCCTCTCGGGCTGGTGAGTGCCGGTCGGCACCGATCCTCTGTGCGGGAATCTCTCCGCTTTGCCCTCCGCACCCCTGTTTCTGCGCTCTCCTCCGCAGCGCTGAAGCTTCCCCCTCCGCCACCCGCAGCCTCTGCCCGCGAAGGGGCTTCCTGGTGTGTGGACACCTTTCCTCCTTCACAGCTCCCTCCCACTGGTGCAGGTCCCATCCCTATCGTTTTGTCTCTGTTTATTCTTTTTCTTTTGCCCTACCCAGGTACGTGGGGAGTTTCTTGCCTTTTGGGAGGTCTGAGGTCTTCTGCCAGCGTTCAGTAGGTGTTCTGTAGGAATTGTTCCACGTGTAGATGTATTTCTGGTATATTTGTAGGGAGGAAGGTGATCTCCACGTCTCACTCCTCCACCATCTTGAAGGTTCCTCATGCTTTGCCTTTTAACTCTGGTTAAATGGTAAGTACTTGCCGGGCGGGGGCTATAGCATGCTCACATTTTCTCTCCCCAGTACTTAGCCTGGTGTCTGGCCACATAGTAAAACTTCAGGGAATACTCATTGGATTGAATTTCTTGTGGAGTAGGGCCCAGTATTTTTAGGAGTCTTATTTTTCACACATACCATACACACAAACACTAACCTGGTTTCATACTCATTTTCAAAATCCTGCTGTGAGATTTTCCTTTCTCTTTTCACATGATTTGCCTTTATCGGCCCTCACTCTGTTACTCTCTCCCTCTGTTATGTTACGGGGATACTTTATGGGGAGATACCACAGAGAAAACCTGGGTTTGTTTTCATGCTGGTGTCTTGCTTAGATGACATCTCTTCCCTTGTCAGCAGGTCTCTGCTGCCTCTTAGGTGTTCGGTCCCTGTGCTGTCAGAGCCGTCATCGTGCTGCTGTGTCCCTCTTGCTTGTTCCCTGTTGTCAGAAGGGGGCTGTTCCTTGTCCAAGGTGTGCACTTGGCAGTTTCTTCTCCTTTTCCTTTTATTCTGTCCCCTTTCTCCCTTTCATAGATAGTCTTTGTCATTCTGTATTCAGTGTTCCTTCCTCTTCTTAGTCTGAGTCATTTCCCTTAAATATGTTATCTTTACTGCCTACTTTAGCTTTTTCCAGTTAAGTTTCTCTTCAGGTTCCCCCTCTTGAGGGTCCTCCTGGCTCCTGTGTTTACTTCTCACAGTGCAGCCTCAGTCTGATTGATTTAACTTGTCCTACTGTCTTGTGCAGGATCCATCTCACTCGTTTCCAGCTGTTCTCTTCCTCTCCCTCCCTTTTCTGTTTTTCTTCCTTGGTTTTGTCCTACCACTCTCATAAACTCCTCCTCTCACCCTGTTTGTCTCGTTACTCCTCTAAGGTCCTTTACCTTCCTCACTGTTCCTTGCGGACGTTTATAGGGTCTCTGGGTGACTTGTGCTCAGCATCCATTTGAGCCTTTCCTTCCCCACTTTTATCAGACCCTAATTTGAGGCAAGTTTTATATGCTGTACCTATATACACACCAGGACAGTATGATGCCCTTTTTTGCCCCTGGTGAGATTGTAACTTACCTCACCATAGCTGTACCATTTTATAGTCTACCTTAGTTGCGTTTGTGAGCATGTTCACTTGAAACATTTTGGGGCTTCTATGTATTATATAATACTGGTTTAAAAAATTTAAAATCAGAAAACAAGGACTGACAAAGGATTTTTTTTCCCTCATATGGAAAGGCAGTACAACCATTTATTTAAGATTGGGCCATAAGCCATAGCAGAAAAGAATATGAAAAAGAATGTGTGCGTGTATATATATATATGGAGATATATATATATATATATCCATATATATATATGTATACACACACACACAATATATGTATAACTGAATCACTTTGCTGTACGGCAGAAATTAACACAACATTGTAAATCAAATATACTTCAGTAAAATAAATTTAAAAAGTAAAAGATTGGGCCTGTCCCTAAAGGCACAGATGTTCCCTAACCTTCCGGTTTAGGGTTAGGGAATGGTTATTAGCACATCCTTTTTTGCCATGATGCTCTAGCCTCTACTTTTCTCAGGAGTGATCAATGGAATTGACCACCACCTAATCAGATTGCCATTATCCTTAGGTTGAAGTTTGTTTTTTAAGAGCAACCAAATGTTAAACCCTTTCTGTTCAGAAGAAAGACAACAACAGTTTTGTGTAAGTCCAGATACTCATCAGTGATATGTAAATAATTGCATCAAAAAATTTCAGGCTCAACCCCTAGTTTATCACCCTCTAGTTTTGGTGTACTTACTACAGGGTCTCTAAAGAAGCAACATCTTGTTTCATCTGCCTATTGGTTCTTGACTTTTATTCATGGTATAATTTGTTTTATTTCAAAGCTGCATCTAGATACATAGTTAACCATCACTATCTTTGTCAATCAAAAATGCCACATACCATTTTTTGGATTTATTTGAAAAGCTATGATAGTTTACTCACTTCTAAAAGAAGACATAGCCATAGACTAAATGAAAGAGTGCTGTTTAATAAAATGGCCTATATGCTTTCCAGTCACTAACCTGAAGCATCTTCCATGACAATTTTTTTTCCAGTGAATGAAGAATGTTATAAACTCTGATTGCCTGCACTTAATTTCTGGAAGTTACTGAGGGTTTGCAGTGCTTATTGTCTGTATTTGAGAAATGTACTGATGACACTAAAAGATGTTAATTTAACTGTATGTTCAAGAGGCAAGCTAGAAGTTAATTCTAGAAGTAAAACTAGAAGTATGTTCAAGAAGACAAATTAGTATTTTGGTCGTGTGTGTGTGTGTGTGTGTGTGTGTGTGTGTGTGTTTTATTACTTGTGCTGTTGCCTGGGCATGCCAAGATTTGTTTTAACTAGAAGATATTGTTTAAGTTCATTCAGTACATTTTATGTCATTTTCTCCTAGTAAAGAGCTGAAGAAGAATGAAGGGGCAAGGAACCAAATATACAGAAGTGAAATGACAAATTAAACCAAATGGAATTTCTCTTCAGAGTTCAGAAATTTCAGATGGCCAGGAAGAAAGGAAGGCTCTACTATTTCTTATCCTTATGAAAGAATCTAGAAAAATCAGAAGCAAGGTATGGGTGGAAAAATAAATGCGGCCTTTTGAAAAGCTTAATTGTTATAAACCATTGTGTTTGCTGTTGATCAAAGTATTAGTACTTGTATTTATTAGTAACTGCATCAAAATTACGTTACCATTCTTGGAAAAATCAATAAAGAAAAACCATAATTGCCACACAGCAAATATGAGGAAAAAAGTGTTTGCATTGTTAGGATGTCCATAAAGTAATCATTTAATATTATATCTGTAATGTGGTTATGTGTGTGATGATATACTCAGAATATGAAATATCTGCTATTTAAATTTAACTTTATTTAAAATAAAGATAAGCAGCTTCAGGATTTTGTGTATTCAAAATGGTCCAAGTAAGAAAGGCATTAAAAGGTAACAAATGTTTACCTTGCTTTTAAATTTTTGTTTTTAAATTTTTTTAATTGTTTTTAAATTTTTACATTGAATTATTTATTTCTTTAGTTCCAGAGTAACAGTGTCGTTACTATGTGACCATATATTTTGAAGTGAGATGTTATAAAATGGGAAAGTTCATCTCTTTGTTTTTCACTTGACTCTTCTTAAAACTGTGTGATTTTAAGTCTGTCAATAAAATATTTAACTTCAAGAAAGTCAAAACTAATATAAAATTAGAAAACTTATTTACCAAATTAGACAATTGATTCCATTAAAGTAAGAAGTGAGAAAAACAGTGTTGGGCATTGAGGTGTAAATTTTGCCCAGATGTATACCGGATGTGAAAAATCTTCTAGTAGAAATATATTTGACTCTTACCCCTGCACATGTTGTAGAGGCATGAAAATTGGTAAACTTGCCCCTGCTGTGTAGAACTTGGGGGGAGGGGGGCATTTTTGAAAATGGTGAGTGGCATTGATGACTGCTGAAGCCCTCAGCCATTAGCACAGAAATGTGTTCCGATAGTACCAGGCTCCCCTGTTCTAGATGCACACGTCTGTGCTTCAGGTACAGCTGGACCCAGCCAGCTTGAGTCACCCTTGTACAGGCTTGTTTTTTCTTTCTTGTGAATGCACTTGATAATGAAAAAAATAAAAATATGTGACTCTCTGCAGTTTCAGTTCATAGTTTTGAGATGTGTGTAGATTCTCTTGATTTTGGTTTTAATTACAAAGAATTTCAGCAAGTTGCAAAATGATTTTAAATCAAGATGATGATAAAATAATATGTCAGAGGAGCTAAACATTTGCTGAAATCCCAATGTTCATATGAAAAAATAAAGGGTTATTTTTATATTGTAACTACTGAAGGCAAAAATAACAATTGAGGCAAACACCAAGAAAAGTTGTTTCTACTCAAAGCCCATTTCTTTTCTTTTTTGTCCTGTTGACAAAGCAAGATTTGGGTTATGTTTGTGAATAGATTAAGTATTATTAATTAATAATCTTCACCACCTTCTAAGATGAGATGGGGTGGGGGAGACCATAAGAGTGCCCTCCAAGTAATAAGTCCAAATTATAATCAAGCAGAGAAATCAGACTATTTACTTAGTAATAAATTAACTTTGTTTTATTTTTATCCTAAAATTATTGAATTCTATCCCATTTTATAGTCTCTTTTCTACAAACAAGTAGCAATTTGACACTATCTTTTCTAGATAATAAATAATGTCATTCTTACAAATTAATTTCCCAATTATTGATTCTACTCTGTCTTGAAGATTCGAGTTTCTTCAGTATCAAAACTATACAATGAATAGGATTTGCAAAGCTAGAATAAAAAGCAAGTTTTAAAAAGATTTAAAACTTGAAATATTTTACACCATGAATGCAAATTCATGTTTAAGATGCACCTTTTAAATATGAAATCAGTGTTTTAAATGGCTAACACTTGCTACTTTTGAAACCTTTCGTAAGGTTTCTTTCCAAAAAAAATGGATACTTGACATTAATTTTATTTTTCAGTTACAGAAAAGTTTTATTAGAGAAAGATATTTTCTCTTTAGGAAGTTCAGCAAGACTATCTGGGAAATAACCTATCATTTTATAACTTCATGTTATTTTAGTCATATATTTAACTCACAACTATTTTTCAAAGGGTTAGAAAGTTCTAGAAACCATATAAAAAACTCATGACCTTATACTTTTATACGTATTTCAATGATTTCCATCTGAGGTCCATATCTGTTAAGTAGATTATGGGAACGTTTTTCACTAGTCCAACTTTTGAAGCTCTATATTTGTTGATTTCTACCTCATTGGACTTGACTACAGAAGAGATTCCCCAGATCTTCACTTTATGTACGTGACCTCATTTAGTCCTCACTTCAAACCCAGGAGGAAGATAAAATCTTCCCTGCCCTGCAAATAAGGAAACCGGGGCCTTGAAAGTTAAGCAACTTGTCCAAGTGCACACGGTCAGTCAGTGTGTTGCTTGCTGTCCATGGAGGTTTGTCATACTCCACTGGGGCATCTCAAAGGTCCCCACCCACCTCAGGTGCTGGGTGCAGTGATCCAGTAGCACCTAGAGTTGGTCTCCAGCCCACACAGAGTAAGGAAGCAACCTGATGAACGTACAACCACACTCAGAGACTAGAAACATCTCATATGTCTTCCATGCAGCCGTGACCTACATAAAATAAAATACCATATCTGAGTGAATTTTTTTTTTAAAAACTGATAATGTCTTTACCCCATATTTGTTTTGCAAAATCTTTACTCCATACTCTAATTCTTACATTTTTTTAAGGAATCGATTCTGTGGACTCAAACTAATACATGGACAGTAACATTTTATTCAAGAAACAGTATCCCAGTCACATAAGAGAAAATAAAAACATCAGGAGTCACGTCAATCAAAAGGCTCTGTTGAGTGGCAAACTCGGTCTGTGGATGGACCCAATTATCTGCAGGCGAACTGAATGTCAGCATCATTTAGGGTTAACAATGGACCAGCTAGGCAAAAGCAGACAGCTACTCTCTGCAGAGACCCGGAAAGCAAACTTGGTAATGAGGTACTTCATTCATCATATCCTTCTGCTCTAATTATTAAAGTGAATAGGGAATACTTTAACTTAAGGCGGGAACTGGATAACATAAAAACATCTGTTTTGTAAACACAAAGAATGCTTTTTTTCTAATGATCTCTTCACATCTACATTAAGCATATGTTGTGAGCCCCCTGTTTTCGAAAGTTGCTCTTCTAACACCTCAAATTCATTCTGATTATGGATGGGTTATTTTGATTGTCTCAGAAAGTTAGGGAGGATAAAGCTGCTAAGAATCTACAGTTTTACTATCTACTCACAATCTAAAGAGGGGGAGGGTGTCATAAGTAAGTACATACATAACCATGAATAATACATGTTCTATTACTTGTGTCAGAATGGTCCAACTATATATACTTCAATGTCATTCATCTCTAAAAGTACTAAACAATCTGATTTTTACTCATTCTAGTTCACTTTTTCTTAACTCATCACTTGGATCCTTGTGAAGAATTGTGAAAGAATTTGGTAGAGGAAAATGTAGGATTTTTTTTTATACAGCAATTATATAAGTAAACATATATTGCCAATCTTTAAAGTTGCTTGAAACGAGCTGATTTACTGTTGAGAGGGAACAATTATAGTTAAGAAAAAAAAAAGTACAAAAGGAGGAAAAAGCAGGGAGGCGAGGAAAATAGCTTGTTGCTGGAGCAAAAATGAACAACTGAAGCTTGTGAAAAAGCAGTCGCTAGACCAAAGGAAGAAGGTTCCCTGGAGAAAAATGTGGTCGCTACGGTTCAGTTTTTCAGTGATTTCTACTGAGAATCGGTAGTTAATTTTTTTTCTGTTTAATTTGTTCATGGGACCATTTTATGTAAACACTCCACACAACTTTTTCCGGAGCTACAGTTATTCGATTTAAAGTAAGTGGAAGATGGCTAAGCACGGTGATGTTTTTAACATCCCTGCCTGTTATACAGAAGAAGTTAATGTTCAGAAGTATCTGCACATGCTACTTTTAGCAACTGAATATTTCCATCGTGGCAAAGAAATGTCAGTGAAATCTATGCACTTTAAGAACATCATATTCTTATACTTATCATGTGTGCAGGCAGAGTACATAATAAGCTAGTCTATAGCAGCTGTAAATTTCTGAGGATTTATCTAACCACAAATACATTGAAATGGGGAAACGGGGCTATATTAAACTATGCAAGATGCTGCTGGAGCTTTGCCATTTCTGCAACATCCTGTAATTAATTTCTCATGACAGGTCTGGCAAACTGAAACATCCAATACACTTGCGACAGACAGACTAGAGTTGCTGCAAATCCTACAGTCCCATGAAGTGAAGGTAGTTTTTTTCTTTCAAACATGAATATAGCTCTGTTTAGAGTGTCCCGTAGCCAAGGACAAGTTTGTCACTTTTTAATTCCAAAATAAAGAAGGCCTAGAATATAGAAAAGATCCTGAGCTGAGTGTTTAATCTTTTCTCTGTGTTGCGCAGTCTTTCCCTGAAGAGGGACGGCCCTGGGTAGGGGATGATATCGTTAGGTTGGCATGCATGCCTGCTGTAGCTATGATGGGATTCTCTCCTGGGAGATTTGAGGTCAGTTCTCTCTCGAACACATCCTCTCCCTGTAAGCAAGACTCACAAGACCACCTTCTCCATCTGTGTGTCATTCTCTTCTGGAACCCATAATCCTGCCATCTTGCAAACTTAGAGCACAGATAAATACAGAAATGATCCCTGCTGCAACACAGAGAAAGAAAAAAATGTCAATTTTTTTTTTGCAAGAATAGATTTTCCTGTATAACAGCAAGTTCTTTGTCAGTTCATATCGATGTGAAAGAATGACCCTCTCTTTACCTGATGTGTGTAATTTGATACAGGTGTTAAGTGTTTGGTGTTAAGGACGGACCTTAGTAAGCAAGCCTCCTTCTTGCTGGGGGAGTGGAGATTCTGCCCCTAAAAATGAAATCAGCATATCAGTGTCCACAGCCTCGCGCATTTCCTTTGGAAGGTCGGAGTTCCTCGGACTACAAACAAGAGGACACAAGGGAGAGTGGGAACCTTGAATCTGGAAGTTTTCATGAGAAGGGAAAGGTTCCAGGTGGTAAAAAATAGGATGGGTCTTGCTCAGCAGAAACAGAGGTGAGAAGCCAGGCAGGCAAGGGGCAGTGGTTTCAGCTCAGTTGCCAAAGGCTAACTGTAAACACCTGATGCTCTTTGTATTTTCTCCAGTGATTGTCTTTCCCTTTATCCTTGCTATTGAAAATGTATTCTGTTCAGAGGACCAGAGAACTTTGTTGCTTGGGCTTAAGTTTTAGAGAAAAGCAACCACAGAACCCCAAACTGAATAACCCAAGGGGAAAAGTGAGCAAGAGACCATGTAAGAATGCTTTTGTATACTTCCACTCCTCTCCACTGGAAAAGCTCCCTTCAGAGCTCATCTGTGTAAAACTCTGGAAATGGAAAAGAAAGATCAAAACATGAAAAGGAAGACCCTTCTTTTTCGTACTTGTCCAGGTTCACAGAATCCAGGGCCAGGACCCCACCTCCTACTCCTACTGCTGTTTACTAGGTAACATTCTCAGTTACCTTAAAGCTGAATTATTCAATCCTAATTCTTGAAAAATCCTAAACTTCTTCAACCTCCTACACAACTAAGAGTAACATCCCGTATAGAGCGTGGTCTACATTCAGGTAAATTCCCCTTTAACACTAGGTTGTTATAAGTGGTGAATTTGAATGAGTGAGGGTTGAAAGTAGGAAAAGTATAAGGTGATAGCAGAGAGTCCAGAGAGAGACATTTCGGTGCACGCACAAGAGGTCGTTTTCTTTGATTTATGGTTTTTTACTATGTTGACAGTTGGATACAGATAAGGACTGATTCTATTTACGTATCAATAGCTGGAGTTACAGCTTGCCTAAATATACGCTTATAGTTAAAGATCAAAAATAGCTTTAACACTTTTCATGTTTCTTCAGAGCGTGTGTGATCACTTTCAATTGATTCACCAGCTGATTATTGAAAGCCTGTTTGTCAAGCAGTGGGCAGGAGCTGGGTGGACAGTTGAACCAGGAGCCTCAACTCTTCTACTCTGTGTCTCACCTTGAAATTGTC